GCACGCATGCCAGGCGAGCGCACTACTGCTTGAGCCACATCCCCAGCCCCCCATGATGGCATTTTGCCACATGGAAATAACAAAAGAACAATGAATCATACAAGGAACTAAAAAACTGTTACAGCTGCATGGGGAAAGAAACAGAAGGACTCTGGATGGGGAGAATAAAGAGGAATAAAGGAACTGAAGAGTTGAAGAGACAGTAGTAGTAGTAGTAGTAATTGTCAGAGTAGGTGTTGGAGGCCCTGCAGGGTTGCCCAAGCCTGCAGTCTGAAGTGGCTACTCACTAGGCTCAGGCAAGAGCACCACACATTTGAGGCCATCCAGGGCAATTGAGTGAGACCCTCTCTCAAAATAAACTAAAAAGTTAGGAATGTAGGTTGGTAGTAAAGTACTTGGCTAGCATGCCACCCTGGATATAGTCCCCAGTATCACACCACATACACACACAGAAACAGAGTGGATGTGTGGGCACTGTTCAGAAGCATAGCCACTGGGGTTGGGAGAGGGGCACTGAGGACCAATAGTTAGCTGTAGTGTGCATGGGGCTGCAGGTCTCTGTGAGGAGGAACCCAGAGGAGCTAGGGCGTGGATAAGAGCATCATTAATGGGAGAGAGCCACTGCCATAGTGAGATGGAGTACCGTAGAGAGGGGGATTACAGTGGATGATGTGATTCTCCAAATAGCCCTGACATGTGTAGGTGGGAGAGCACATGGTGCAGGGAAGATACTGCTTCTGCTTTCTCTCATGTCCTCCTGTCCATCTCCTACAGATCGATGTGCACCTCCATGATGCCCTGGGTCGGCCCCATCAGTGTGGAACAATTCAGCTTGACTTCCAGCTGCCCCTGAGATTCAACCTCCAGTACAAGGGGTATAGAAGCTTTTCCCATCCCCCTTTCCCTTGACAGCCAATGGTGAGCAACTCCCACTCCTATTTTCAACCTAGAAACTGAATCAGACTTCCACATCTTCCCCTGCCTGGACTGTGCACCTAGAAGGTGATCTTATGTGCATAGTTTGTGATACTTTCACTCTTTTTCCTTCCAAGGCAGGTGGGGGCCCTGGAGCGGCCAGTCCTCATTCACAGAGCAGTGCTTGGTTCTGTGGAAAGGCTGTTGGGAGTGCTGGCAGAAAGCTGTGGGGGAAAATGGTGAGCTATCTGATGCTGGCCTTCACGACAGGGAGTTTATACTCCAGCTCCTGTCTCACTTCATGTCCCAGATCTGCTTCCTGCAGCTACACTTCTGGCCAGAGCTGAAATAAATTCTTTGCCACCCTGTTTCCTCCCATCCAGGCCACTGTGGCTGTCCCCATTCCAGGTAGTGGTCATCCCTGTGGGAACGGAGCAAGAGGAATATGCCAGAGAGGTGAGGAGTTGGACTCAAGGAAGGGGCAGAAAGGGACAGTAGGGAGTCTGGTGCCAGCACTGGGTACGAAGAGGCTACACCAGCTAGTGGGAAGGGCACAGCCCTCAGAGCCACCAGACTGCACCTGAGTGGCAGCTTTCCTTTATCTTCTAAATTCTCTCCAAAAAGTAAAACCTGCTGTGTGCTCTGTATGTATAATATGAAATGAATTGCATACTGCCATCATGTATAACAAATTAGAATAAACAAATAACTTACTGTTTGAAACCTGCTGGGCATGGTGATACACACCTATGATCCCAGTGACCTGGGAAGCTGAGGCAAAGATGAGGCAGGAGGACTGAAAGTTCCAAGGTCAGCCTAGGTAACTTAGCAAGATCCTGCCTGAAAATAAAAAATAAATGAACAGGGGCTGGGGATGTGGCTCAAGCGGTAGCGCGCTCGCCTGGCATGCGTGCGGCCCGGGTTCGATCCTCAGCACCACATACCAACAAAGATGTTGTGTCCGCCGAGAACTAAAAAATAAATATTAAAATTCTCTCTCTCTCTCTCCCTCTCTCCCCAAAGATGGGGGTGAATTGGCTTGTAGAATTGAAATCAATACTACAATCTGCTACAGAGATATAAACAAAGCAAATCAACACATTTTAACAAATGTTTAAAAAATAAATAAATAAATAAATGAACATCTGGGGTTGTAGTTCAGTGGTGAGGTATACACAAATGATCTTGGGTAAAGCTGGTTTTATTTTTCCTTTCTAAAGAGAATTGAGAATATGGGTGGTACCCGAGGTGAGGGCAAGCAGCAGGCAAAGTCCAGGGGATAATGGAGGGCTTTCTCCAGTAGGAGTCGACACAGAAGTTGTGGGTTGGGGATGGAGAGGAGGCTTCAGTATAGCAATGAGATGAGGAAAAAGATAATTTTTATTATGGGGAGCACTGAGGCAGGGGATGAGGGATAGGAAGTGGGGCAGACCAAGGAAGAAGGATGTTTGACTGTCCTAGCTCCTCAGTCTTCCATTGAATTTATTTCTTGTCACCAAACATGTGTCCCAGATTCAACAAAATCTGCAGGCTGCAGGCCTTGTCAGCGACCTGGATGCTGATTCTGGAGTGACTCTCAGCCGGAGAGTGCGCCGGGCCCAGCTCGCCCACTACAATTTCCAATTTGGTAAGAGAGAGGCAGCCCAGAACCTCGGAGCTGGGTCTCTCATTCTTTAAGTTCCTTTACCCTGTGCCTCCTCACAACCACTTCTGTCCCTCAGAACAGTTTTCCTCTTATTAACCCCACCCTAGGGGGGTTCTTTGGGGTTAATTAACAAAGGAAATATCAAAGAGAAAGGGGACCGGAAGGTTAGTGAGGCATTAATTAATTAGCCTTGTTTATTCTGCACGTGAATGGAGTCAGCCCTAAGGATTAAGGAGAAAGCTTTAAGGAGAAAAGTCTAGTACTCCCTTGCTCTCTTCACTCTCCACAGTTCAGAGCTCTTGAAGATAAGGAACAGAAATTCCTCCACCTGATTCTCTAGTTTGGCGTACGCCCCTCACCTACCAGCACCTGGAGCAAGCCACCCCACAGTCCATGGACTTGCGCATGTGTCCCAGTCCTGCTGTCTTCCCCTTCCTCTACCTCTGCCTCCCACCCCACTGCTTGCCCCACATTTCTCAGTCCCACCTACCATTTCTCTGTATCTAGTTCTTGGTCTGTCTGGCTCTCTCTGGCTGACTCTAGTATCTCTGACCCTGGGGCTCCTGACCAGAAATGATAATAATGTTCCAGGCTCCGCATTCCTTATCTTCTCAGGATGAGCAGTGAACTGGAGAGAAGGCACAGCTAAATATATTCTTTAAACCATATCTAGACTCTGCTTCCACCCTTCCTAAAGATTTAAGTCCGCAAAGTTTCTGCAAAGCAAAAGGAAATATCCCATGTCGGTGACTTTGTCCTGAGATTCCCAAACCTCCCTTCCTCTTCCTGCAGTGGTTGGCCAGCAAGAGCAGAGTAAGAGAACAGTGAACATACGGACTCGCAGTAATCGCCGACTTGGGGAGTGGGACTTGACCAAGGCTGTGCAACGGCTGCTGGAGCTACAGAATACCAGGGTCCCCAATGCTGAGGAAATCTTCTGAGCTTTGTTCATACATGAGACAGAGACCTGCAAGAGTTGTCAGCCTCCCTGATAAACCCGAGCCCTACTAACAGCCTGGAGTCCCCCAGAATCCTCAGAATTGCATGTATCTGCTCTCCTGAAAAGACTTGGGGGCTGGGGAGGCAGTTCAGTGGCAAAGCATTTGCCTAGCAAGCATGAGGTCCTGAGTTCTATTCCCAGCAATGCAAAAAGAGACTTGGTTTGGGGACCCCACAGCGGGAGGGAAGATATGGTGTTTGGATGTGACGAAGAATGAAATGGAAAAAATAAACTTGAAGCTGCTATATATTTGTGTCTGATCTCTGACTCCTGAAAGAAGGACAAAAGGGAGTTCCACACTGGCTGGGAATGGGAGCTCAGGAGGCTGAGCAGGAGAATCACAAGTTCAAAGCCCCAGCCTCAACAACTTAGGGTCTCACTATCTCAAAAGGGCTGCTAGGCGCACGCCTGTAATCCCAGCGGCTCTGGAGGCTGAGGCAGGAGGATAATGAGTTCAAAGCCAGCCTCAGCAAAAAGTAGTGTGCTGAGCAACTCAGTAGACCCTGTCTCTAAATAAATAACAAAAAAGGGCTGGGGATGTGGCTCAGTGGTCAGGTGCCCCTGAGTTCAATCCATGGGAGTTCCACTTTGTTACCCTTGCCCAGAGTTGGGGACAACTCTCACTGGTAGGGAGCTACCTTAGGCAGCTATCCTGTTCCCAATGTTAGTTCCTTAGTGCCCTGGTTCCCTAGACCCAGTTCCATAGGTTGTCAGGTCCCTGTTCCACAGGAGGCAGCATGCAGACGTAAAAGTGAGGCATGAACTAAGGGCCCAGATGTCTGCTGCTCCATGATCTGAACGGGTCTCTCTTAAGGTCCTAGGAATACTTCCTCCCATCACCTTCATTCTTCTCAGTCCTCCAAGGAGGCTTCAGGATGAGTTTGGGAGGAGTGGCTGCTAAAGGAGGAGCAGCTGCACTGAGTCATGGCAGGAAGCTGAAGGGGGCGGGAGATAACAACAGGCAACATATAAAAGGGAGCCAGAGCTGGCCCTGAAGTTCACAATAGCAGTAGCAACAGCCGGAGCAGCAGGATTCCTGCAGCACAGCCCTTCCTTCACATCCAGGTCTGCCTGAGACAACCCAGCTTTTAGGTGGCCGGTGACCAGTCCTTGTTCCAGGATGGGGACCATGGCCAGAGTAGCCTTGGTCTTGGCCTGTTTGGCTGTCGCCTCTGCCACTTCTGAGGGAGGTGAGTAGGGGTGGGGTCAGCACTGGGGAAGGACTCTGGCTAGGCAGCTCATCACTAGCAGGATGACTTGGCCTCTTCTGAGCAGGCCCAAGGTTGGCCTGGCCAACTGGACCTTTTAACCAGGGAGGCGGGAGCAGACAGAGAGGGGTTCCTAGAGGTTACTGATAAGAAATAAAATTGGATTCAAGTAGGCAACTGAGCGGGTAAGTGGATTCACAGAGGGAAGGGAACTCGGCCTGGGGAGGAGGTATGTGGTGGAGGGACTCCGAGGCAGGTGAAGCGGGGAAAGGGGCCCCCAGGCTGCTCAAAACCGGTTTGCTGACCCAGAGAGCCTTGCCTGACTCACTGTCTGGTTAGAGGAAGGGTTAAGGGGTTGTCCACTCAGTCTCACCCACTGCTGGGCATAAACACACTCTGCTTTGATGCCTCAACAAAACGGAACTCTGGAGGGAAACTGCCGAGAGGGGCAAGAGAGCTAGTGTGTAAAGCCCTACTCGCTATCATCCCTCCCAGTTCCTAACTTCTTTTTTTCCTGCACATCAGTCACCAGAGATTCCCTTCTCTATGCCTGTCCCATCCTGCAGGTCCTAAATTTGAGACCTAAATTGAGGAGGAGCTGAGACTAGCTAAAGTGAGGCACTTACACTCCTGGCTGGAGTTCCTTCTCAGAAGGCCTACAGAGGGTTAAAGGGCCTGGCATAGGAGATTGGTGGAGGAGGTGGGCAGGTGAGGGCTCAACCAGCTCAGGTTCAGCTTCTTCCTCTGAAGCCAGAGGGGCACCACAGCAGAGCAGCTACAGGAAGGGCAGCCACAACCCCGGAGGTAGAGACACTGACAGGGGAAATCAGAACCTCCCTCCCAACCTTCAGACTCAGTCTCTGAGCCAGGCAGAATATCCGGGCTTTCTCAGAACCCTGTCAATAATATCCAGGTGTTTGTGGGGGTGATGAGGGGACATGGGACAAGTATATTATAGAGGTCATTGCCACGTCTTGTCATCTTCCTACACTCTTGACTTCCACAGTCTCCCCATTCCTTGCTCAGAGCCAGAAAGGGCCCCTTAAAACCACCGCCAATTTCCTCTCTCCAGGTCACGAGGCTCCAGGGCAGAAGGAGCTGAGATCAGAGTACATTCAGGAAGGTAAGAGTTCGGGGACCAGGTGTGGTGGCCCTCTTCTGTAATCCCAGCCCCTAGGGAACCTGAGTCAGGAGAATCACAAATTCAAGGCCAGCCTCTGCAATTTATCAGGATCCTGCCTTTTTTAAAAGAGGTAGGGGTATGACTCGGGGGTTGAGTGCTCAATCCACACTGTGCAAGCAAGGAAAGAAGTTTAGAAGAGCAACTATGGAACTGAGAGTCCAGGAGGAGCAGGGGGACTCAGAGTTTCTCCTCTTGTCTCTAGCTGGCTACGCAGCACCTCCCTCCCCACCACAGGCCCGAGGCTTCCCCGTGTATCACCTTGACCCTTCCCAGTATGACCTTCCTTTTGAGGGACAGAGGGAAGGTAAGGCCCCACATGCCCTTCTCAGTTACCCCCTCAAGTCTCTAATCTGAGATACTCTGGCTCTCAAACCGGGAAGGAGGGAAGCAGCTCCACCCCTCTCCCCACTGGCTAGCAGGGGTGAGCTGCTCACACACTCCTCCTTCTGTAGTACAGTCCCCTCCCTCTCCAGAAGCCATACCTGTCCAAGAAGAGCTGCCCCCTCCTCACCTCTCTAATGGAAAGAAAGGTGAGTGCTTGCTCACTTTCCTACTTCCCACTAAGATCTTGCTGACTTTGGTCTGCAGTCCTCCCTCTCCTCTGTCTTGCAGTGGATCCGCCTCTTCCTCCAGAAGCCATCCCCCTCCAAGAAGAGTTGCCCCCTCCCCACCCCCGTACTGAACAGAAGGAAAGTAAGTAACTCCCTCTGCACACACCACCTTCACCTAGCCTTACCCTAGAGTAAGGGCCTTGAAGGCACACAAAACAGGCGCTGCCATTTCCCATTTATGTAACCTGGCATGACTCAATTACCAAGCTTTAGTTTCTTCATGTATAAAACTGAGGAAATAATACCTGTTTGATAGTTATGATTAAATGACACAAAAATAGCATTTATTTTCACTTCTCTACTGCATTCCTCTTTATGAATGGGGGCTAGCCAGGTGCCTATCTTCTACAAATGCCCATTCCAATGTGATATTTGCTTATACATCTCCTTCTACCCCAGTAGACCCACCTTTCCCATACCAGGAGGAGATTTTCCATTCCCAGCAGAGAGAGGGTGAGTGACAGCATCTGTCTGTCCATACCCCTGCATGACCACTCAGGACTCCAGGGAGAGGAGCAGGGAAACAGCACAGGGAGCAGAAACGTGGGAGGAAGGGACAGCTCTGAGGGTGACACTTTTCATGCTTCAATTCTCTTTTCCTTTCAGTTAGTCAATCCGAAGGTAAGAACCACAGATTAATTTCTTCATTTTCCCTTACCCTCCTAACCCTTTCTCCTTAACCCCCAGTTCTTTCAATTCTCTCAGTTCACTCAGCCTTTGTCAGTTCCTCCCATCCTCTCTCTCCCCCCTCTGTTCCCCATTCTAGAAAAGCCAGCTCCCCCCATGCGCCAGGATCCCCCAGAGCCTCACTCTTGGAATCCAGCCCAGCACTGCCAACAGGGCCGGTTCCGGGGGGGCTGGGGATACCGGCTGGATGGCTTCCCCCCGGGGCGGCCTTCTCCAGACAATCTGAACCAGATCTGTCTTCCTGAACGTCAACATGTGGTGTACGGCCCCTGGAACCTGCCACAGTCTGGCTACTCCCACCTCAGTCGCCAGGGTGAGACCCTCAATTTGCTAGAGACTGGATACTCCCGCTGCTGTCGCTGCCGCAGCCACACCAACCGCCTGGACTGCGCAAGGCTTGTGGTAAGATGCTAGGGGTGTCCGTAAGCCCCCAGACAGCATGTGTGTGTTTTAAGGGGTAGACACCTAGGCCTGGGAATGGAGGAACCTCAGGTCCCATTGCTGGCCCTACCTTGGACCTCTCCAGTAGGAAAGGTAGAGGGCAGCCACTGCTGTTTTCTTCTCCACCTGTCCCGGGTCCTTTCCTGCAGCCTGGGAGAAAGGCAAGGAATATGGACAATGAGTTACTGGGCCTGACCCACCTTCTCACTCTAGTGGGAGGATGCAATGACCCGGTTCTGTGAGGCCGAGTTCTCAGTCAAGACCCGACCCCACTGGTGCTGCAGACAGCAAGGGGAGGCTCGATACTCCTGCTTCCAGGAGGCAGCTCCTCAGCCACACTACCAGCTCCGGGCCTGTCCTACCCACCAGCCTGGTATTTCCTTGGGCCTGGAGCTGCCTTTTCCCCCTGGGATGCCCACATTGGACAATTTCAAGAATATCTGCCACCTGAGACGCTTCCGCTCTGTGCCACGCAACCTCCCAGCCACTGATCCCATCCAAAGGCAGCTACATGCTCTGACTCAGCTGGAAATGGAGTTCCAGCGCTGCTGCCGCCAGGGAAACAACCTTACCTGTATATGGAAGGCCGTAAGTGGGCATCCCAGGCCCTTGAGAGCCTGTCTGCATCTCCGACCTCTGCATCCAATGGTCCATCCATGTACTCCCTGTTGTGAGCACGTCCACGTTCATCTGCTTGTGACTGTCCGTCCACCCATTGTGTCCATCATCTGAATCTGTGCATCTTGAGCCTTTATACTACGTCCTGGCCTCATCTACCCATGAACCCCCTCCCCCACGTCCACCAGTCTGCCACCCGTCCATCCAGCTCTGGCCTCACCTGATCACCTACTGATCACATACTGTTCCAGCTCGTCTCCCGTGGCCAACGCAACCTCCTCTGTGCTTCCTCCCTTCCACCTTCCCAGCCCACCCATCCATAGCTGTCTCCTCGCCCACTGGCTCTTTGCCCTCCCTTTGACCCCTTGGGTTGGAGTCCCTCATTTCAGAACTGGGGGTGATAAGGGGAGTAGATGGTGAGGAGAAGGGCCCAAGTGTCCAAGCTTCTGACTTCTCTCTCTCTGGCCCACAGTGGGAGGATACCCTGGATGGGTACTGTGACAAGGAACAGGCTACAAAGACCCACCACCACTCCTGTTGCCACTACCCTCCTAGCCCTGCCCGTGATGAGTGCTTTGCCCATCAAGCTCCCTATCCCAACTATGACAGGGACATTTTGACCCTTGACCTCGGCCGAGTCACTCCCAACCTCATGGGCCATCTCTGTGGAAACCGAAGAGTTCTTACCAAGCAGTGAGTCTTGCTCGGATCTTCCCCAATACTCCTCCCTTCCTTCTGGTGTGCCCTTTGAGGAAGGAAAAAAAAAAAAAAAACATAGTCTCCCTGTACCGCTCTGGTGCCAAGAGACGCCCAGAGATCCTGATCCCTGCCTCTTTCACACCAACATAGTAAACAGATTCCTGGGCTAATCCAGAACATGACTGCCCGCTGCTGTAACCTGCCATTTCCAGAACAGGCCTGCTGTGCTGAAGAGGAGGTAAGTGTGTGAGGAAGGGGTCACAGTCTCCAGAGGAATGCAGGAGAGAGGGAGGAGGGGGCTATAACTGCAGGCTGCCCCTTTTCTTTGGCACCTCAAATCAGCCCACAGAAACAATGAGGACTTGAGGAAGGGGTCTTTTTTTCCTTGGTTCTAGAGTCTTCATTCCTGATCTGGTCTGCTCCCCACGCCTAAGTTCCTATTATGCCTTCTCTGGGCGTCAAAGCTTCCTGGCATTTACAGATGTGCACATCTGTCAGCCACAAGGAATCCAGCTGTGCAAGGCAGGCACGCACTATCTCTGGGTTCCAGGAAGGGATCCCAGGGGTGAGCAGTACAAGCTGGCAAGAGGAGAACTTTGGGCACCCAAGTAGCCACACTGGACCTCTGACATTTCCCCACCCCCATTGTCTCTGCTTTTCTCCTTTTTTTTTTAATGTTTATTTTTTAGTTTTAGTTGGACACTATATCTTTGTTTTATTTTTAAGTGGTGCTGACGATTGAACCCAGTGCCTCATGCATGCTAGGCAAGCGCTCTACCACTGAGCCACAGCCACAGCCCCTGCTTTTCTCCTTTTGTTCATCAGAAATCAGCCTTCGTGGAGGATCTGTGTGGTCCCCGACGGAACTTCTGGAGAGATTCTGCCTTCTGCTGTGATCTGAGTCCTGGGGATGAACAGACCAACTGTTTCAACATCAATTATTTGAGGAATGTGGCTCTAGTGGCTGGAGACACTGGGGATGCCAGGGGTCAGGGGGAGCAGGTCCCAACAGGGGGAACAAATATCAGCCCTACCCCTGAGTCCAAGGAAGAATGAGTCACTCCAGAGCTTTGAAGAATCGGATGGGGGGAACCCCACCCCCCTTGAACATTCATTATAGTAACCACCTCTTGGATTTGGTGTCCTTATTGTCTGTAACACACAAACACACCCTCTAAGCCTGCTTGGATTTCCTTCATTGGCCCCTGAGGCCTACTGCCCTGCCCTCACTAAGGAGCAGACGATGTTCCACAGGCTGTGGTGAGACCATAACTAAATGACTTAACTTTACTACTTGTCATTTTGAACTTATTCACACATTTTAAAGGGAGTGCAACCTTTTTTAGTTAGCTGTCCAATTTTAAGGTGAAAAAGATGGTTCATGCCTATATTTGGGTGTTTTTCTCTTGCTGTTAAAAGTTTTAGCATCGGGCTGGGGATGTGGCTCAAA